CAGCGCTGCGTGGAGCGCAAAGTTACGAAGAAGCCATCGAGGCCTTCACAATCATGTTGTCCAAGTTGGACAATGCTTCTGAAGCTCACATACGAGGTAAGCCATGGAACATTACTACCTTGTGTCGAAATGCCTATCTTATTCTGCAGATCTGCGTCAGCAGTACGTCTGTCCATCGGAAGCAGAAGATGCTATTCGAGAAGCGGTTCGGATTGAACTCAGCGACGCCCCCCTTCGTCTGCTCAACACCTCTACAGGGATTCTGTGCGACCGAGCAGCACAGCTAAATTCCTTCAAAACAAGTCCAGAGTACAAGGAGCTTCTGTCATCCATAACGAAGCGTTCGGATCTCGAAATGGAACGCATCAAGGAGGTGGTGGCGATGCACTTCCGTTGTGTTTTGCTATCACACAGGTGGGAAGAGACGGAGGCGCTGCTGCACCACATCCAGGACAAAATGGTGTACGAGTTGGATGGACTCGGTGGCACCGCGAAACTGCAGTCGTTTTGCAAAGTCGCTCGTGATGCGGGGTATTTCTGGGCGTGGATGGATACATGCTGCATCAATAAGAGCAACAACGTCGAGCTTCAAGAATCGGTCAATTCCATGTTCGTCTGGTACCGCCACTCAGCGCTCACCATCGTCTACCTATCCGATGTCCCTCCTTCGTCCCAGTCCGGCGCACTAGCGAGTAGTGTTTGGAATGAACGAGGATGGACCTTTCAAGAATTTGTTGCTCCAAAAGTTGTTAGATTTTATCGGAAGGATTGGTCGTTATATCTCGACGATCGCTCTCCCAACCACAAAGAGTCCCCAGCAATCATGAAGGAGTTGGAGGATGCGACGGGAATAGATGCACAGGCCCTGATCTCCTTCAGTCCAGGGATGAGAGATGCTCGAGAGAAACTGCGATGGGCATCGAAACGTGTCACCACAATGCAGGAAGACATCGCGTACTCGTTGTTTGGTATCTTCGGCGTCCACCTACCTGTAATCTATGGCGAGAAGAAGCAAAATGCGCTCGGGAGGCTCCTGCAAGAGATCGTGGCCAGATCGGGCGACATCACTTCCCTGGACTGGGTCGGACAATCGTCCGAGTTCAATAGCTGCCTTCCAGCCGACATCATCTCATATGCGGCCCCGCCATGCTCCCTACCATCATTGTCTGAAGATGAGATTCAGACAGCGGTCTCTTCGTTGCGAAACATTGTGCCTGTGGATTCAGCTTCGAAGTTGTATAACCTACTCGAGAAGATGAATACTCCCCTCTTTGCAAACTGCAGACTCCGTCTGCCTTGCATCGCATTTCGTGTCACGGAAGTCAAACGGAAGCGGGGTCGTACTGCCCATTCCACGTATGGAGTGAAAGCAGATGGGCTTCGAGACTTACTGATTACCACGGACGAGACTCTAATTCAATTCTCGCGCGCAAAGCCCATTCAGCGAACGTTCTATCTTGTCCGTCCATGGGACCGTCGTCTCCTCGGGCTACCTGATTTTTCAGAGCAGCTCGCCTTTGCAGACGAGGGGGAGAGCGTAGGGGATTTGTCCGAGTCCGAGTCCGAGTCTGGATCAGACGACACTGACGAGCGGTCCAGCAACTCACCTGGAGAAGAGAAGTTGTCAGTTGACTCGGATGTTCACTTACGATCATTACGTTTGATGGTTCACCTTGGGCAGGTTTTCAGCGCACTTTTGGTAGCGCAGCAACACGTTGGAGAATACAAGAGGGTCGCGTCGGATCAATATATCATTGCGCAGGTGAAAGACCCGGCTTCGATTGACATTACTATGAACATCGGGACCCTAGACATATTGTAGCTGAATAGTTTTTTACAACACGTCGACGATCACATTATCATAGTCTCATATATCATACATACCACAAATACAAGATTTCAAAATTTGACATGCAGAGGCACCATCTGCTCTCGAGGTGGTTGCAGAGGACGATATTGTATGTCTGCATTGGAGTCAACATGTGCACTTGGACCGTGTTGAGTAACACATCCGGTTGTTTGGATTCGTAGCTATTGCCAAACCACATCCTGAAAGCACCTAAAGTTTTGCCAGTTCTACCTCGTACACTAGATCATAACACGCAGTCGATCGCTATTGGGAATCATACCATACACTAGGATCACGGGGAAGCAATAAAGCAGTACTTACAGCGAGAAATACGATTGCGATCAAGAAGTAGTATATCGACCATGCATCATGCCCTTCCTGCAATGAATAAGAGAAGATCGAAGCTGTAGACGCTGGGCCGATGATTCTTGCTGCCGCGACAGCCACTTGGGCAATTCCGTTGGTTGCTCCGAGAGAGGCGCGATTGGGAGCAGCTGCTCTAACGAATAGTGTTATGCAGGCTATGGCTTCTTAGTTCAACAGAACGCAGGAGGTGCTGGATTAACATACGGAAGCACATGATCAGGTTAATCCTCAGCATAAGCTGGACGACAACACACAGCCATACCGCCATGCCTATTCCATAGGCTCGAGCCAAAGCATTGGTCACTGGGAACAAAATGACCATGGGTATGCAGGAGCTGACGCCGGTGATGTGGATAGCTCTTGCACCGAAGCGATCATTTAAACGAGTGTAGAAAAGTAGCTGAAATATTCCATGCATGGCACTTGATGCCGCAAGTAAAGCACCGATGCGAGGAGGGTCAAGGGAAAGACCACCAAGTTCAATCGGTGTCGCATAGAAAACAGGTAAGAGCGAATTGAACCCCATTTGAAACAGGCCTGTGGTGGCATAACTCGCTGTTACGCTCAACACTTTCGAGGTTAGTAAAGCGCGCAGCGGAAGCGGTTTTGATTTGACTCCGCCAGGATCAACTATAACATTGTTCAATGGCTGGCGAGGTTTTGAGCGTGACTGTCCGAAGAATCCTCCTTTAATGAGTTCCCAAAGCGGTGTCTTGGTAGAAACGCTCTTGCAACCACACTTAGTGTGATCCAGAGATGGGTTTTTTTTAGCATCGCGCTCACCTCTTTGAGACGGATATACGTGACTAGCCACATTGTCGATATCAAAAATGCCGAAATAGAGCACGGCAGGAGATACGGGTAGGTTTTCAGGAGTTCTGATCGCCCAAAAATGTCAGGGAATCTGTCTGCTGGTCGGGAAAGTGATCCCCCAATGAGTGATCTAAATGCCGTTAACCTCAAGTGCGAGAGATACTGTACTGTATACCTACCCAACTGTGCCTGCGATCGTCCATGGAATTGGTACATAACTGTATGCCTTGGGCATATTGGTTGCGTCAGTGATGTCCATCAGGCTGCTCTTGGCCATACTATCGCTTGCATCAAATGCTCCACAGACAACACGACTGGTCGAGAATGTCAGGAACTGATGGTCACAGCTACTACTACTTAACTGAACACACTGACCTGACCACCAGAGCGAAGAAGGTCTTCGACAGCCCAAACGAAAACATCGATATAGAGATTGCTAATAGGGCTGTCAATATTACAGGCTTCCGTCCGATGTGGTCGGATAGTTGACTCCAATAAAAAATAGTCAGGGTATGAGCTGCATAGTACGATGATTCCTGGAGAGGATAGTATCATGGACGAACGAAAGGGTAAAAACGATGAAGACATGCTTACAAGGATGCCGGTATAGTGTCCAACCTGGGATTCGTCTCCGTGAGTGACTCCGATGTCTCTAATGAGCTTGACAAAGTCCAGTGTGGTTAGATATATGTCCAAGCAAACAGAATATTCTCACTTGAGGAATAAACGGCGCAAGAGTCCGAGAAGAAAGAAATTCTGGCATCTCCAAGAGCAGCAGAATCCAAATTTGATCCCATGGAAGAGGTGTCTTGGCCTTTGGCTGCTCTGGTCGTTGCAGAAGAGGTGTCTCCTCGTCATTCTGCTGCGCAATCATGGTGATGTGAGGGAATGACTCGGATAAAAGATGCAGTTCATTATACTGTGTGAAGTCATTCCAATGAGGCGGTTGCTGACTGGCTTGTTGGCTAGCTAATCGATAAGGCCTACAACGACAGTCCACGAGAACCTGATCAGTTGACAGTCACGCGGCACCTCCTATTATGTAGCACCCGGGTGTAGCCGTCACTGTAGCTTTATCATTGGCTGGCTCATCATGTCAGAGGCACCCAGTACTGCATGTGCCGCATTACATAAATACGTCTGTGACTTGCGCGTCAAGCAGGAGGCTCGAAAGCCAATATGTTCACGATATCGTCGAGACGGGCTCGCTCGTGAGTATCGTAGATATCGGCCGGGGTTGCAGCCGAAATAGTCATGGCAGTGCATGACCTACAGGAGAGGGAGTCGATGATTGATCAGTACTCGCTCACCCTGCAGCTTGAAGTGTTCGCATGCCAATCGTCACCTCAATCGTTTTCGAAAGTGCCGAGGTAACGTTTTCTGCCACGAACAAAGCCGACTGTTCACATTCATGACGCAAATCAGGAAGTGGAGCACCTAGACGACCTTTAATGTCACCTGCGGCGTTCTATAACAGCCCTGTATGATTAGGAACGCCGCCAGTGTCCAGCTAATCTGGCTGCTTGTCGCACATGGAAAGGCTTCTATCAAAGCTGCAAGACGATATCAATAACTTATTGTGACAAACGATTTTGGATATTAGAAGGCTGAAGCGGGTGCCGCAGACTAAGTCATTGCTGTGGCTGTCGGACCTCGGTCACCTGCACAGCATGGCAGTTCAGGGCAGGTTATACTGGCACAGTGCACTTGCCGATCGTAAAGGTAATACTGTTGACGACGCCGTATGGAATAGTGTACGGTCTAGCCGTACAGATGTACAGGCCTAACACAATCAATCTCCACCAAGCCGTGCTTCCACGACACTGTTCAAGGGGTTCGGGGCCGTCAAGAACCGACACTTGGCCAAAGTTTTCGGCGACGCCATAGCCCCACGGCTGTTAATGGGGTCGCCGGCCGCATAAAGTCCAGACACATATATGGGGGAGCTTCAGTTATTTATTTGGTTCGAGTGATGGCCCCAACACTAGTACTTGCACTCGCCCTCATAGCGCTTGTATCTTTCGTGGTAGTGCAATCCTTGCAAAAGAAGAGAGACACTAAGAAGCATCCTCTACCCCCTGGTCCTCCACCTCTTCCTTTTGTTGGAAATGTGATCGGAATCGACCCAGATCATCCATGGTTAGCATACTCGAGATGGGGAACTGAGTATGGTGCGTAGATCCACCCACATGTGGATCTGGATGTGTTGAATTGCGGCACAGGGGAAATCGTTTACTCCCGACTCTTTAGTCAGGATATCGTGATCATCAACTCCGAAAGAGTTGCGCATGACTTGCTCGACCGTCGTTCACAGAACTATTCCACGAGACCTCCAGGGCTTATGCATGTTCTTGGCTTGTGAGGCCCTTCTATCGTTTGATGTTCCTATTGTTAAACGAGTCCCAGTTTTGCTCATGAATACTCCACTGTCTTTCTACCCTACTCAGACAAGTTGAGACTTCGTTAGTATATTATCCCTTCGAGTTCTCTTATCGCACTGATCATGTCTTTACAGACAGGCGAATCTTCCATGAAGCATTCCATTTAGAAGCAGTGTCATCCTTCCGTCCGATTCAACTGCGCAATGCTCACAATTTGATACGAAACTTACTAACCTCCCCGGAGGTGTATGGAAACCATTTCCACACGTTAGTCACATCTCTTCTTTCTTGTATTGCGTGCCTGAACCATCCTTCCAACATAGCTTCAGCACGTCTATCATCATGTCAATCTTGTATGATTATTCTATGGCGCCCGTTGATGATCCCTTTCTCGCGCTCATTGAACGCTCACTTGAGATAGATGTAAAAGTACTCAGGCCCGAAGTTGCAGCTGTTGTAGCAGAGTTCCCCATATGTGCGTTTAACTTCGATCAGCTGTAGTTCTATTCTAATGCACTCACAGTGAAAAAACTTCCTCCTTGGTTCCCTGGAGCGAGCTTTGTCAGGGATGCTATAGTCCAGAGAACTCTCGTTCCCATGATTATGGACATGCCCTTTGAACATGTGAAGAACAACATGGCAAGTTTCAAGTGCCTTTTGATCGGAGTATCATTTAGATTAGGCTCATGATGATCCTCAGGCGGCGGGGACGGCTGCACCATCCGTGGTGTCAAATGCATTGAAACGTATACCAGTCAAAACACAAGATGAAGGGGAGGCCGCTGTTCTTGAGAAAGGGATTAAGGAATCCAGTGCATCTGGTTATGCTGGTTCGTGACAAATCTGCAGTGATCATTATGTTTTTGACGTATCTCTACTCATTTTCTCCGTACTCCCAGCCGCCTCAGAAACTGTATACTTTGACGCGATTTCTATTTTATTTATATACTGACCAAAGACCCAGACGACGTCCACTTTGTACGTCTTCCTGCTCGCGATGGTTCTATATCCCGAGGTGCAAACACGTGCGCAAGCAGAGATTGATTCCGTCATTGGGGAAACTCTCGAAAGATTGCCCGACTGGGACGATCGCGCTTCTATGCCCTACATCAATGCTGTCATACTGGAGACGCTGAGGTGGTTCCCTGTCGTCCCTCTGGGTCAGTACTCTTGACTCATCGAACTCCGGTTAGTACGGTCACTGACTGTGGATTTAGGTATTGCACATGCCACGGTAAATGACGACATCTACGAAGGTTACTATATTCCAAAAGGTCAGTCTATGGACTGAAAACCTTATTCCTCTTCTAAAACTGTTTCTCAAGGGGCTACCGTAATAGCTAACGCATGGTGATTCATCATACCAAGCGAACAAAGATCAGACATAACCTTTTCTTCTTATGCAAGGTCTATGGCGCGCAATCCAGATAAATATCCTAACCCAACGAGGTTCATTCCCGAGCGTCACATGTCAAAAGTCGTTGTCGAAGAGCCGTCAACACATGGCGCTGATGACATTTCCTTTGCTTTTGGATTCGGAAGGCGTATTTGGTACGAAGTTTAGAGCTTTGCGAATAGACGGGTTTGCCTCACCTTTCAGCAGTGTTGGACGACATGTTGCCGAGGCTTCTTTATTCGCCGCAGTTGTGAATATTCTGACTGTTTTCCGGTTGGAACGTGCACCAGGATGGAATGTCGGGCCTGATGCTGAAGGAGTGAAATGGACGGGAGGCTTAACGACGTGAGTCATCCTTGGGGGTTCCTGCAGTTTATCTGAGCCAGGCGATGCAGGCACCCTGTATTCCCGTGCATATTCACCCCTCGCCACACGAAGGAAAGGGTATCGCAGTTGATAAAAATGCAATGTTGAGAGCTGTGCGGAGGGGGGGGGGGTGAAATCATGTATTACCTTGTTTTTTAGTGTCGCTGGCTTATGTTATCCGTCAGCATATTCAAGTTTGATGCCATCATGCATCAAGCTTTACTAACTGTGCCCACCCTAGCCCGCCGTCATTTTCCCAACGAGTGGGTACTTCGTTAATTGTACCGGCAGCTTTGAATTATCTCTCACGGGACTGATAGTTAGGCATCCATCCTCTCGTGAATTACGCGATCACATGACCTGCACACGCAAGTCTAGTTAAGCGGAGTTCGAATACCCCTACTATCACTGGACCTCTATGTGAATTAATCATCTGCCCTCTCTGATGCCTCGCATGCAGCCAAAAAAAATGAAAATGCTAGTCCATTGCAGAGGTTTATACTGATAGTATCATATCCCAGGGAGTTATTGACACGGTACGTGACTCAGTTAAAGACAACATCTAAACTATTGTTTTCCGTGGAATAGTATGTACACGCATCAGCGCGGTGTATGTGCTACGAAGGAAACTGTGCAGACACAAGAGAGACCTTTCTGGATGAAATTTAATACGTAGAAGAAGCTGGGCAGGCAAGGCAAGATAAACGTTCTACTTTGCAGAGTCAAGGAATACTAATCAATACCTTATCATGTCCGATACTCACTCAGGCTGGAGATGCCTTGGTGGAGCAACAATACTTCATTGCGAAAGTGCATTTATGTCGAAAAACAAGAGGGTCCTAGAGATGGAAGATGCTCAACGGGCCCAAGTCAGCATCGCATACTTTATTGTATCCAGAAAGCTGCTTCTTTCAATCACAAAGCTGAGCGGAAATGAGTTCATCAGCGCATAGTGGCAAATCGTCGTCTGTATGTCGTTCTTCCTTGTGCTGTTTATTGTGCTTTACTATAATAACAACTACGACAATAGGCCATCCTATCCTCTGGAAAAACGGTGTCCGTGACAGCAACGCTAACTTTAGCAATCTAGTAGTATACTGGACCTCGGGCGGTCGAGTGACTGACGTCTTCAGCAACTTCGACTTACCATCGACTCGAGATATTCCTCAATACCAGGAGTGTGCAAGGACAATACCCTTCATGGCGCTTGGCCTTCTCAGTGGTATTACGGAGACGGTCATCGAAGGCAAGGTCAAGTACCTGTATTAGCACGACGCCGAATCATTCATATTTGTCCTCACCTGGGTCTCTTCGTTACAAAGATGGCAAGCTCCTAAGAAAGGGAAGGTCGTTCGATAGATGGCCAAAGGTGGATGCCGTTTCAATGCCACGACAAGAGAACTGGCTTCTCAACACCGCATTATCATAACATGAGACCCTCGCGATGTCGAAAAATCGGGAACTTGCGATTTTGTGTCTTCGTTCTCTGGCCTTATTTAATGCGGATGACCCTGAACGCACGGTGGATGACTAGGTCGTATTTCGGACGTGACTCAGGGAACACATACTCGAGGTAACTTCACAGCGTGTGCTAGTCACAGAGTTTGCATGCAGTCTGCCCAAATTCCTTATTTTCTGGATGATATAATCCAACTTGAAGCTGAGGTTTCTTAGGACGATTTTACGAAATTCTTCTGCCGATGATCACATTATTTGATAGGGTCGCTCTCACCTGGGAGCTTACGGTGTATGCTTATCCGCGCTTATGCTTATGCCCCAATACTATTCCTGTGTCGGTGGATTATTGATTCTCGTGTCATAAGAAAGAAGGATCCGCTGCCCCCTCCTATTTCCGATGCCCACTGGTCTCTGGATATGATATGGACCTTGCTGTCTGGTCGAGAAAGACGAGAATAGGCTTGTTTTATTCAGGAAGCGGGACAAAGAGGTGAGCGGCCATAATACCTCAGGTGATAAATGAGTTCTTCGAGTGTTGTCTTCCTGCTGACGGTCCAAATTCGACGATCACCTGGACGCTCAAAGTATTTGAGGTGTGCTTTCTTCTACAGTCTTTTTGTAACTTTGAATTAATTCCTCAAGTAGGTGAAATTGTCTCGAAATTCCCATTCTTTCCAGTCCTTCACCGGTACCGCATCCATATCTACTCTTGTCCAAATATGACTCCCATTGCCGCCGCCACCGGTGCCGACCCCCGTGATTACCCCACTTCCCCGCGGTTATAAGAATGGTCTTTATAACAGTTTACTAACCCACCGCTCAAATCATGGCCCTTACAGTTGATCGTCACCTTGCTATCCTCGCTGGTATTTCTCTTTCCTTTGTCGCCGTCAAGGCACTCAAGGGGTTCATCAAAAAGCGACAGAATAATGTTCCTCTTCCTCCTGGCCCAGTGCCCCTTCCACTGTTGGGGAGCATCTTATCTATCGACGCTTATGAGCCTTGGCTGACGTACACCGAGTGGGGTGCTGTGTATGGTACGTGAACAGATAGCATAGGGCATACGTGGTGTAAATCATTATGTCAGGGGACTTGGTCTTCGTGCGAAGTCTAGACGAGGAAATGGTCGTGATCAATTCTCAGCACATCGCAGAAGCCTTACTGGACAAGCGTTCTCGGATGTACTCCGATCGACCATACCTAGCAACACTCGAGCCGTGGGTTCGTTCAGTATTCCTTTATTCAACCAGTCTAAAGTTCTCGCAGATATGGCTTGTCAATCAACTTTGGATTCATAGCTTATGGCGATGAATGGCGTCTTTGCAGACGACTTTTCCATCAAACTTTTCGCCCTGAGTCTGCAGCAAAATTTCGCCCAATGCAAATCAAGCGGGCTCGTGAGATTATCGTCAACCTAGTTGATGACCCTGAAAGTTATCACGACCACTTCGCAACGTTAGCGAATAATTTTTACGAATTGAACCATTACTTACCTATTCACAGATTCTCGTTATCTGTTGTGATGTCAACAGTATACGACTACAATATCAGTGCTCGTGATGATCCTATGGTGCAGACCGTGATAAAGGCACTGGTTCCAGGCTTGACCGTGTTATCCCCAGAGAGAGCATTAATGCTCAAAACTTTCCCTTTCTGTGAGCTCAACTCTCCTGGATGAGATAGCGTTAATATGACACGCACTTTTGTGAAATGTAGTACTAAAGGTACCTGACTGGTGCTGGGGATCCTCAATCAAGCGTACTGCTCGAGGTTCGACGGAGCGCATCAATAAAATGGCCGACATGCCGTTTCGATATGTGCAGCAGCACATGGTGGGTGCTCATCTTTCTCTTGGTTTTAGACATTGACTCAGCTCGTGGCAAGGCCGATGGGTCATCGCTCGCTCAATCTTCGATGGTTGCAGAAAATTTGCAACGGATGGAGACACAAGAGGAGGCATTCAAACCTGCATTCGAGAATGCGTTGAAGAAAGCAGCTACTACTGCTATTATAGGTGAGTCAGCCTTTTATGAGCAACATTGTACTCTCGACATACACTAATATCGCACAGCTTCATATGAGTCGGTAAATGGACAATTCCATCGTGTTGACCGCTGCTTACCGTCGTCACAGAGTGTAGCAACTTTGATGGTTTTTGTCCTGGCCATGGTATTATATCCTGAAGTTCAGAAACGCGCACAAGCGGAAATCGACTCGGTGGTCGGAAAAGAACGGCTGCCAACGTTCGAGGACAGAGCATCGCTACCCTACATCGAAGCAGTCCTACGAGAGACTTGGCGATGGCAGCCTGTTGCGCCTCTTGGTATTCTTCCCCACCAAATAATCTGGCTTGTGCTGAAGACGACCTCATAGGCGTAGCACATACCGCTTCAAGTGATGACGTATACGATGGGTACTTCATTCCAAAAGGTCCGCTGTTTTTGTCCCAGAATCAACGCAATAATTATTTATAATATCGTGCATCAGGCACAATCATCACATACAACACATGGTCTGATATGTTCCTCCCAGCTTTCGTGGTACTGACTGGATTGTAGGGGTATTACACGGGATGAAAAACGGTACCCCGACGCATCTAGTTTTATACCAGAGAGGTTCATTGATAGTGATGGTGCGTTGACAAGTGATGACCCTGCACAATACATCTTCGGCCTTGGCCGGCGAGCATGTCCAGGTTCGTTAACTTGTTCTAATCCCGTAAAAGATCCACCGACAGACAGACTTTGATCAGGGCGATATAACGCTGATTCCTCCGCGTGGGCTGCCATTGCGACCATGTTAGCCACGTTGGATATTTCTCCTGCCAAAGATGACCAGGGCAAAGTGATCAGCTTTACTCCCGAATTCATCCCAGGATTGGTCCGGTACTTGACTTTCTTGATGTTATTCTATCCCCTTGTTACTAACAGTTTTGTTGCTTCAGGCTTCCTGCAAACTTCCCTTGCAGTATTTCGGCACGGTCTCATATTCATCCAGACACTGTGGACAGTTGGCGAACTGCCGAATTTTGAAAAGAACGGATGGCAGTTTGCCATCCGTGGTAGAGGTGACGTAGCAATGGATCAAGTACTTCTTGCCAGTGTATAACAGGTCAGCAAACACGATGAACGTGTCGGTTATTCGAGGGTTGTAACGTTAGGGTGACGAGGTGCTTGCCATTTGAAGGTGAGATCATCGGGGCTTGGTGGGCAGCCTAGGTGGCTGGGACATGTCACACGGTAGCCGAGGATCCGAGGGGACCTGACGTATCTTGTTCTCGTGAAATTTGTAAAGTCTATCTACCCTCAAATTGCAAATAGCTTGAACAAGATGCATGCGGCTCCGATACACCCCAAAAATGTCATGCGCAGTACTTTCCTGCGTCTTCCTCTGTTTCGTTGGAGTGGTTCATGCTGCACCTATAACAGATACTAAACAAATACTACTCCCAGCGACAGTTTCTTCAACGCCCCATCATTCACGACCAGAATCCTGAACCTGAACTGACCATCGCATGGGGTATGC